TGCGTATTTAGACATATTTGTCAATATAAATGTATATATGTCTACATATTTGTGAGATGGCCTGCCTCCAGAAAAGGGCTCGCAGATGCTGCAACGAACACAGAAATCCAAGGCCGTATCCGGAGTGAGGAGTGAAATCCGTTGCTTTGCCTCAGGGATTCGCTCGCCATGACCTCATGAGTCGCCATGGTTTCGCTGCCCTGGGGCCATGTTGGCAGTGAGAGGGCGCTTATGTAATTATGAGTAAAAACTAGAGCCTTTTTCAGTCAGGGCAGTTTCGAAACAAACTTTGCGGTTCAAGTGGCTAACTTGAAACCTTTTGCTAGAAGCTTAGTGCATCATATTGGTGCAGGCAAATGGACGTTGCTTGGCAGGCAATTGACATGAAAGTTCCGCTGTTTATGGTCCTGCGAGGTGACACAGATCCATAGCCCTTCGTGTTCTCAATGGATATTTCCCCCTTTGCGTAACAGGAGTTTCCTTCAAATCGGGCCTTATAGGGGGACTTATAAGGAACCATGGGCAAAGTTGGGAATTGTGCTGCCAAGTTGCGAATGGCCGCGTGGCACGAGTTGACGAGAAATCCTCCGCGAGCTATTCACTGCCAGCTCGGAATATCATTCATTTTATGTGGCCTCCTTTGAGTACTGTCTGGGACGGCACTCTTGAATATGCGGGGTTCATGACTTCCCTATCCCAGTTTAGTTGCGGAGGGTGCATTTTTCGTCCATTGGCGGCAACAAAAAGAACCTTGGCACAGTCTTGGTTGCTCTTTGCCTGCACATTCGGCCATTGCCACGATTTCCAGTCGTAACGCGGGCACTTTTGCTTCCAGAAAACGGACTTCGTGTTTTTTGGGGAAGAAGGTCATGTTAGAGCTAGACGGGCCTGGACTTGTTTAAATCAATCCACTTAGGAAGACATTGTTCTCCACCAAGTGGCAACAAGCTTTACATTGAAAGGGTGCCCCAGAGTAGAGCAAACAGGTGAAATGAAGGGAAGCGGGTGCATCGCGATTCTCGCTCGTTGTTGGATTGGCTTGCGTCGCGTTCCATTCGTGAAGCCTGGCAAAGAATGTTATTGCGTCATGTTCCCATACTTCAGGAGTGCTTGAGTCATCTTTGGAGCCTTCTTTTCAGGATGGTTTGAAGTACCAATAGTTTGGACATACCCATTTCCAAATCATGTTTGGGTCCCACGTGTTGTGCAGCGAGGTGAGCTGCAAATGATTCAGCCACGAGACTGAGGATTCTTCACAAACGCACGAATCCAAGCTTGCTTTTGCGTGTAGGTCTTACACGGAAATGGTCACTGGCACAGAGTCATTTGGAACCAACACCGCCATGACACGGCCACCTGAGCACCAAGCAACGTGTGCGAAACTCCTTGGGCCAAGCTCCTTTTGCTGGCTGGCAAAAAAGTTTGTCAAAGATATCAGGACATGCTTTTCAGTTGGCACATCATTCGTAGGGATGTTCCATTCAACTTCCTGAAGTCATCATTGTCTTCAGCTCCTAAGTCCACCCACTTTCTCGAGCTTATGAATTGCCACACGCCGGCAAATCCAGACTGCGCCCAACTGGCCCCCTTTGCGCCGCCTCGTGTCAGGGAGGACTTCCCGCACCACCACTTTTGCTTGTTGGCAGTGCGGAGCTCGGCCCGACGGTTTCGTCCTGATGGGTTTCTGAGCTATTGGGTGCGGATTTACTCGGCATCTGGCGGAATGAGACACTCCAAACGAAACCAGCGACAGGTGAGATCAATTGAAAAAAGCGCAGTTCTATCTGGGGAACCTTGTGACAGTTCACCAGCCAAAAGTAAGGCATACCACTATGCCCTGTGTCTCAAATTCACGGAGCCCTGTTTTAGCTTGGCCCTTTGGGGGGTTGCCCCTGCCTGAGCCCAAATACCGGCCGGGAATCTTTGATTTACAAAAGGCACAAGTTGTGGTTGGTTTCCACTGGGACCTGGCGCAAATGTGTTGTGTTCTGGGTATGTACCCTGTTTGGAGTAAATGTAAAGGGAAACCAAGAGGAGCACCTCCATTTTGGGGGGTCCCCCTAATTTGACGCATGCACTCATTCGTTGGGGGAACGTTGTGCATATTGCTCGGGAAGGCAAAATCGGGGCTGGCCGGTTTGGGATGGGGCACACAACTTGTTTAGCTGTGTGCCCAGAAACCTGTGAGACATTGAAAGTTCCACATGCTATGATCGGCCACCGGCGAATATTCAATGAGCCTTTGAAGGCATGGATGAACACCAGGGTCCCCTTCCTGGAAGCCGGGCAGGCCGAAAGCTAAGAGGGCGAGGTGGCTAGGACAGCTACGCAACACACAATTACACAGCAATTCAAATGTTGGGGTCACTATCTGTGACGCTCAGTTGATGAGATCAGGCTGTTAAGCTCGCTTCCACAAGCTCGGAATACTCGTCCATGTGGCAAGGGACCTCTTCTCTTGTTGGACTGTTCATCAAATTCGAACTCACAGAGTCGAGGGATTCAACACGTGTTCGAAGGGCTAGAGTCAGGGAGGCGTTTGTCGCCAACATGTCGGATTCTGGGAGAACCCTTCTCATTTAGTGCAGTCCTGCGGATTGTATCATTCAGACTGCGTGTCACAAGCAAGACCTGTAACTCCAAACACCTACCCAAGGGCAAGTTGTAAAACCTGCAAACATCTCAAATCCCTCTTTCCCACGTTTATGCGTTTTGAAGCAGGGAGGTGCTCCCGAAGATAAATCATTCATTCGAAATCTTTTTGGCAGCTGAGTCTGGGTTGCGCTGATCCCTCAGCACAATGACAAAAGAAAAGCACAAGCATAGGAAGTCGGTATCGATTCTTCTCCTTTTTTGCCTGAGGAACCAAGTCTGGGTGCCCCCTTTTGGCTGGTTAAACCAAAAGGACACCAACTTTTGTAGGGCTCCTTCGTTTGAGGACCCCCATCTCCACCCTCGTGACGATCGGGTCGAGTGGGAGCACTGGGGTTCCGAGGTGCTTTGGACCGTCTGGAACTTGCTGTCACACCCATTCTGGCGAGACAGTGTCATCGACCTGTTCGTCGTCCGGGGCCCCGGGGGAAAAACACACACACACAAACAAAGAAGCAAAAAACAAAAACAACGGCAGTACACCTATCTTCCTATGCACTGAGTTTCGGAGTTTGTGATGTTCATTTTCGTTTTGGCCTTAAAGGGAAGTGGACATGACTGATGTTGTATTGTTGGGCGGCGTTTGAAGCAACTGGGGCATAGTCTGGCCAAGGGAGTTGCAAAGTTATTCCCGCGAGGTGCTCCAAAGCCTTGGATGGGACTCTTGGCTGGGGGTGTCGCTGTGTTCCAAGGGCTCCTTTTGTTCTTGGCGACGGGTCGAACCCTCGCCTTTCTCTGGCGTCACCTCCTCACAACCTCGCCCGGTGTGTGAATCCGGAAATTTGACACCGGAAGCCGGAAGGACACGCCCTTTTAACATAGGGCACACTGCGAAGCGCTCCACTTCCAACGACCTGCCTTCTTGGGTTAGGGCACTAGGGAGCTGAGGATGGGTTCATGTGAAGCAACTAATAAGGGATGTGGTTTGTGATCCCGCTCCTGGGGATACTGTATTTTGGGTTGGTGAGTTATAATGCGGGTGGTTGCTTATCCCACGGATAGTTGCTTGACCTTTAAAGCAAACCGACAAGAGGGAGGGTGATTTGTTGGAAGGAAGTAGCTAGTCTGATTTACCCAGAGCCATGACAATGGCCCACAGCTGGCAGAGTCTTGACCAGGACAGTTGGTCCTGGGGGAGGTGGGTTGTGTCTTCAACTCTTTGTACAACGACGCCGTCTCTCTGCAGAAGTACTTCTTCCTGGAGCTTTGTGCGATGAAGACTATCGTCAGGGCGATTTCGGGCATTGCTCTCGAGCCTGTCGACGTCCCAGTGCTAGTCATTGGCAGGAATGTAATAAAAGAGAGTCTGGCAATGCCATCAAAGTCGCATGGGACTTTGGCGGAACGGTGGACTGCCGCGCGCTCCTTTCAGCAGCGCGACGCTCACTGGCACTCTGGCAGCAGATTCATGGACAGATCGCCAGATCTCCGTGGATGCAGTGTCCAAAACAAGAAACCGAAGGGGAAATAGTTTTCTTGAACGGAGGCACATTGAATAAGCTCAGGTGATATCCCCATGCAGCCCTCGCAGAACCTCGTGGAACCCTCTTGGAACCCTCGTGGAACCCTGGTGGAACCTGCCCCGACCCCGGAGCCTATCTGGGCTGAGACCCCAAAGCTTTCAGCTGTTGGGGAAAAACACCTGAGAAGCTTTACGAGCGGGCAGTCGCAATAGGTTTATATATCCATTTTGATTTGTTTCATCATGGAATTTGGGTAGACCCCTTTAATATCATGTTTCATGATGATTCTTCTGGAATCAACATGTTTAGGGATCCCCATTTTGAGACAGGCTCTGCACTTGCATGTTTCTTCATTGGCGATCATGTTGTCGGTTTGTTACATGCTTAAATGCTTTGATTTGTTCCTTATGCTAATCAATTGATAGTCTGCCGACTGCTGCCAGCGCGTCAGTTTAGCATTTGCTTCCGAGCCCTGGGCAAATGATAGGGGATCCTGTTTTTCCGACCCCGAATCTGTTTTCCGGCTTCTATTCTACTTTTTGATGTTATGGGCAAATGGGGTCGAAACAACAGGCCTCCCAAATGATAGCGACCAAACAAAGGGGTTCCGGCGATCTCGCCCATGCTTTCGGCTTGGACTCATTCACGCCCGGCCGAAACAAAGCGCTTTGTTCGCTTTGGCAGCTTTACCCCCGTCTTTCAGCCAGACACGTTTTGCCCAGCTCAAGACAACGACCAAACCACAAGGGTGATGTACGAAAACACACACATACAAATACGCAAGGCCAAAATTCCCATTGGTTGTCCTTTGGTGGTCTTCCTGGGGTAACAAAACCGCCCAACACAGAGGCCATGGCTTCGGGGGCTCCGTTTCGCTCCGTTCAGATGTGGCCCGATGAGCTGCACGCGGTGCTCATGGTGGCATCGATTTGGGCGCCGGCGCCCAGTCCACTGGTCTCGAGCCGAAGGTTTGCTGGCGTTGAGGGCCTGAATGCCAAATGGGGTCATGGATATAGGACAATGACGTGTGTAATGATTTGAACACAACCGTTCTTGGGTTGTCCAAAATCAATCCTTTCTCCTTTTGCTAGATGGTAGTGGTGGTCCTGCGGATGGCGTCAGCGGACATGACGATGTGAGCGACGAGAGAAACCAGCGATTTGGGGGAGTCGAAGTGCCGACATCTCTGGAAATCGATCCGAAATCCCGAGGCGGTATCTGCCACCCAGATTTTCCCATCCTGGAGGCGTGGAAGGGTTTTGGGGGGTTGGAGAGTGCAGGATATCTTTTTGTTGATGCATGGCCTGAACCAACAGTCATGGAAGTGGACCTGTGTCGGGTTTTGGACGACTGCTATCCTCTCACACATTGTGCACTTGCATCGTTGTTGGAAACAGGGCAGTGCGTGTTTTCGAGGAGTTCACTTCCTTTTGGCTTCACGTTGGAAAAAGGAAGTTGGATGCGAAACCATTTGATTCCCTTTGACCTCAGGTTAGGGAAACATCATATTCTCCTCCGAAGGTGCTCTAGTTCAAGTGCGCACACATTTGCACTCTTCTTGCACAGACACTTGCGCTTGCGCTTGCACTTTCACTTCCACTTACGTGGATAGGTCTCAATTTGGCTGCCTTGCGTCTGTTTTGGAAAGGCGCAGATCACCCACAAGCCGCAACATGCTTGGCTACAGTTTCCCTTTTGGTGGGTTTGAACATCTTTTGCTGAATTGTGAGTTTCTTTTTGGTGAGATGACGATGTTGACGGATTGAAGAAAAAGTTGGAACCCTGAATAAGGATTGGTTTGGGAGCTGAAAACCCAGTTCCTTTTAATTAGGAACACGGTTACACAGAGCCTAACCCAACCTCAATGTTCTTTGCGGGTTCCTTTTGGCGGGGTGATGTTTTCTGATAATTATCAATTTTAGGTAGCAGTGAGGCGCTCGGCTAGGCAGACTCAGCCTCGTCCGCCACTCAGCCGTCGGAGACGGAGACAGAGATACTTCTCCCTTTGTTCTCTCGCTTTCCCTGCTTTCCCGTTGTTTCTCTCATTTGGTCTCCCGGTGTAAATCCCTTGGGCTCCCTCATGTTTCCTCAGTGCTGGCACAAGGTACGGAACCTGGTGTCACCCCACAGGTGCACCTTCTTTTAATTTTCCATATTTCTCGTAAGGTCTAAGCAAACCACCAGGGGCTCGCTGGCTTACGGGGCGAGCTGGCAGGCACTTGGCCTGCCTGGTGATGGGCCAGTGCTTCCTGAGCTTCGCCCTCTCTGCCGCGGAGGCAACGTGACTTCGCGCGGGTGGGACGTGTCCGACCGCCGCGGTCGGAATGTGGCCGGAGGTTTGGTGGGAGTTGTGTCGTGGCTGTGAGGGGGGGGGTGTGGTGGCGTAATTTTTTTGGGCTTTGCTTTGCGCGTTGGCTAGGTTTATCGGGCTTGCCTGGCTTGGCGTTGCTTGGTGTTCCTCTTCTTGACTTGGCTTGACTTGGCTTGGCTTTTCTTGGGTCAGATTGCTGGTTGAAGGCTTGCTTGCTTGCTTTCTCGCTGGTTCTCCCCAGCCAACAGCGGTGCCACTTGAGATGGCCAGGGTTGGGGAAAAAAGCCGGGTGCCTGTGGATCGGTGGGTCCCGGAGCTTTCGGAGTACGGGGATCTGCGTCTTGAGACAGCGATCTTGGCGGCATGTTTTCACTCCGAACCGGTAAGGCATGTCTCAAAATCAGAGGCTCTTCCATTCCAGTGAGGGCTTCCATTTGGTTTTCCTGTTTGTACCATCCCGCGAAGAGTTCCCATTTGCTTTACTGTAGCTGTTTTGGGAGGGGGGGGGGAGGGCGGGTTGACACTGTTGGACCCTGAGTGAGACAAAGCCTATAACTTTTCTTGTTGTTGTCTTTTTTTGTGTGTTTTGTTTTTGGGGGGGGGCCATGCAATGCAACGAAACGTGTACCCTGCCCCCAGATGTAAAACTGAGTGTGAATTCCCACTTTGAGACATGTGACATCCATGTTCTTTGTTAGGGTTGCAATTGTGGGCATGTCTAGAGGGAACCCACAAGGACCACCCATTTTTTGGGCATTCCAACCCATCGGAAATGTGAGCAAAGGTCACTAGTTTCGCAGTAGAGGGGCTGACATTCGGTTTGCTCACCAAATTACCACAAGGGCATAGGGCTACCAAGTTCTCATATGAGTTTGGGACATGAATCTTGAATCTTGACGTCTACAGCTTTGCGCCGGGCAACCTGAAATGCCAGGGTGCCCTTTGCATTTCCAGCCCCCCAAAAAAAGCCCTTAAACATCGCTGCAGTGTAGAAGTGACCTCCAAAATTCCCCGTTTTTCAGACACGGCCCGTCATATTTTCCCTGTGAAACCCAAGAAAAAAGCTCCAAAACAGCTCCGGACTGGGTCAGGTGTCCAGTGCCTACGTGGAATCCCTGGACTTCCCAATGGACTCTCCCACGGTGCGGTTCGACCTGGCCGCGGCCTTTGGGCTCCTGCACGCCCCGTTTTGGGGAATGCGTGGGGGGCGCGATGGCGCAGCGTGTGTTCGATTTTACCAAAAAGAGATGAGTGATGCTTGAGTTTGTAGGGCCCTGAATGGCTGGTTCCTTGCGCGTGTGCGAGCAATACACTTTCAGATGACACTTCCAATTGCAGCAAGATACTTTGTTGCCAGGAGATGTTGTGAGGAACACATCTGTCAACAGGCCTTTGTGTGGCGTTTGTCGTTATACTCAGGCTCTTCTGTACCTTGATGCAGGGGGCGATTCCGCTGTTCGGCTCCAAATCCCTATTTTCTCATGGGCCCTGCCGCTGTTTGGCTTTCAACTTGGAGAAACAACCGCCTGCAGCATGGTTTTTCCCAGGTTATTTGACACCATTTGAAGCCAAATTCGGGAAAACGGGTGAGGTCATCTTCAACATCGCGCTGCTGATCATCGGCACCACCGTGGCTCTCGGCTCCCTTGGTCCGGAGAAGGACGGGATGGTGCGCAAGGAGGATGTCAGGGGACACGGGGTTTTCCGATGGGAAACCACCTGTGGAGTTTAGAGGAGCAATGCTTTAAAGATGTTTCAACAGGGCATCCACAAGGAGTTGGTTTGAATGGTGGTTCAAGGTTCAAAGATGTTTCAAGGGGCTCAATCGCCCAACCCTGGTCCGTTCGGCTCATTTTGAGCCCCACGTCCAACTCCGCCCCTTTGGGCCAGGTTCCGAATGCCAAGGGATCCCCGTTCACAAGTGGGTTCATAAGGATGGCAATCTCACTTTTCATAGAATTGCAGTGGCTAGACATTTTGCCCGCGGTGTCTTTTGGCTTCCCGTCCGAGATTTCTATCCAAAACCGCCTAGGTCTTGGGAACAACCCTATCCAGCATATCCATTTACATATGTTAACGTGAATTATATCTGTATGAATTGAAAACCTTAGCCTCTGAATCAGATAACCACCGTATCCATGCGCAGCATGTTTTCAAGCTTGCGTGCAGCATCATTTTGGGTCGAGGCATGTCAGGAATTTCGGAATTTCCCAGCCTAGGTGCAGACTAAAGGGAAGGGTACCAGCAAACACCGTGACCGCAGATTAACACGGAATCCAACCACCTAAGATGTCCCAAATATGATTATTGGAGGAATTTCCTTCTGGGGGACCCCGTTTTCCAATTCCATGTTGATTTGAAGGGGAGCACAGCCTCTGGCGAAGAACAGTTAGGCTTGGTGCCTCTATTTAAGTGTGGCTACCACCAAGCCACCACAGCTCGCCGTAGAAACATTCCGGCTTTTCTAGTTGTCAAGTGGATATCCACGGCCAACAATTCCGAGGTCCTCTCGCGCGTGACCAAACCTCAAGGATGTGGATTTCCCTTTTCGGGAGCTATTTGTGTACTCCCTTTGCAGAGAGGGTTTTCCGAGCACTCCTGGATTCTGGGGTTACGAATTGTGAAGGACGGGAAGAGAGACACAGAAGGCCTATCCTTGGCGTGCAGGGCTCAGATCTCGGTGCTCACCTTGTTGCAGTCACGGATTCTACCCTTCCATGTTTGGCCGTTTCGTTGCCAGGCACGGGAATCCGAGCCAAGGGTTCCAACTCTGCCTTGGTGTTGGGCCTGAGGTCGGCGCTGCACTCGCAGGCCTTCGAGGCAAGCGCTTTTGAGACTGGGGACGTCCACGGGCCCCGTGTTGTTTTTATTGTTGTTTTTTTTTGGGGGTGGTTCCTTGTCCCGTCGGTGGGGGGGTGGCTCGTTGGGTTTGCCTCTTCGGTGGAAATCCCTCTTTGGGTTTCCTTGTGGGTCTGTTTTGGTGCGATTTGTTGGTGGGTGTCGTTGAAACGAAAGGGCGTGCCTTTTTTTTCCCTGGAAGCAAGCCCTCGCCCGACATGTGGTGTCCTTGGGGCTTTATTACGGTTGCATTTTCAGCATAGTCCTTTACAGCTTGGCCATCAATTCACTGGAGCTTTGATTGGCGACACCGGCTCATCTTGTTCGGATGCGAGCCATCTTTGTCGGGTGCATTCTGTGGGAACAGGTCGTGAAGGCCCAAATAGATGGAGCAGAAAACACTTGGAGACAGTACCCCAAGTAGCTAGACGAAACGCTGCTGAGTGTTAAACAGCAGCTCAGCTGGATGCATTGCATTGTGCATCTAATTTGATTTATGGTCAACAAGTATGCGGAGAGAAGGCAGTGGCGAGTGCCTTCCCTCGCCAGCAAATCTTCGTTGCTTCATTCAAGCCGCCTGACAAGCAGTGCTGAATCAGAAGTAAAGTTGGCAGTAGTCCGATGTTGCCAATGTTACTTAAATCTCTCAAAAACGAGAGCCATCAGCTCCACCTCTCTGGGGGGGGGGGGATTGGATTGGTTGCTCAAAAACCCATACTATTGGGGCGCCAGCTGACAGGATTCGTTTCTTTTCAGGTTTTTGAATTTCGATGCGGATGATGCTGGTGATGCAGGGTCAGCATCCCCAGCATTTTCAACATCACTTGTGACGCCCCCTGCTGCGGGCTGTTTCAGGCAGTTAGTCGCCCTGCTCTTGTTTTAAGCGCTGGACACCTTCTAGAAAAATGAGCAGCCTCTTGGCCCACAAGTTGAACCGGCTTGAGTTTGGCAGGTCAGTTGGCCCCTGTGCTGGAGCTCATTCAAAAACACCTAAGAAGCATGGGGATTGTGCAACCACCTATCTTTCGGGTGCGTTCCAACCATTTCAAGTTCATCCCCGAATCAGAATCGGTCGTTGAAGTGGAAGACGGGGCTTAGCCGGTAGCCAGGATGACTTGGAGAGAAGGAAGCGCGCAGCGCATGCCTCAGTTAATAGTTCAGGAGAGAGGTGTCCTTTCTGGTAGTTTGGACAAGACCGAACACCAAACTGGCTTCAGTCCATTTGGTTCCAATCATTTGTCAGCGGAGCCAAGGCGTGCCCTTGTCAAAGCTCTTTTTGCTTGGGCTTGATGTTTGCTTGAGAGAACCATGACCGTGTCACACAGCAGTTTGGACCATGGGACGTCTTTGGCCGCTTGTCCAAAGCCGAACTTTTGCCCCTTCAATTCCTTTGGTCCAGAAGAAGAAGGTCCCAAAGGTTAAACCAACAAGGCATCCTGAACTTAGCTTTGCATGTGAAGCCTGTGCACCACCCAACTGGCTGCAAGTATGTGTAGACAAACTGGGGTCCCAGAACCGATGCTCAAGAAGGACGTGCCGGGCCGTCCATCTGCTGAAGGGCATGTTTCCTGACAGATTGAGGGAAAAGGCCGCTGGTAATGTTGTGTTCATACGGTTGGGCATCGAAGTACGACTGGAAGTTTTTCTGGGAGTGAGGGTTGTCTACCCAGACCTCCGCTAGCTGTCCCTTGTTTGGAGGCCTTTGTCCCTACTAAAAAGTAACAGCACCCCTTTTTCCCGTGGAAATCGACTGGAGGTCTTTTCCCTGAAAAATAACGTGAGGGGATGAATCGTCGTGCCAGTTTTCTCGAGACCCAGGTCCTCACGGCGCTCTGCGACACCGTGCTGACCACGAACGCGCACTTCGCGGTGACCTGCAGCAACGAGAACGCAGACAAGCTCTTCAAGAGGCTGTGGTTTGACGGGCCAACTGGTGCACATAGTCATGATGTTATGTCCATGCTACCATGTTGGTTTGCGATTTTTGGAGACGATTGCCCCGTTTCGGGGTTGGTTTCAGATCGAGAACCAAAGGGAAGCCAGCGTTCTAGGGGTCCCTACGACCTTTTTTGGTGCCAGAGGAAGCTGCCGGCCATTTCGGGAGTCCCCACACCTGGACACTTGAGGTCTATTTTGCAACCTCCTTCAAACTCTAAGTGTCAAGTATGCTCTAAGTGTCCGCGGCCCCCCCCCGTTACGTTTCTCCGATCAAACTTAGAGGCCAATGCTGCACGAGATCTTCACGGACTACCTGAAGGACAACGCCGAGAAGGCAAGGCCTTGCGATCCTCCGTTCGCTTAAGAGTATTTTTGTATTTTCCCCTGTTGGTTTTAATGGGAATCTATCATTGGAAATATTTTTTATTATTTCCAGGAGGCTTAGGCAAATGGAAGCTCATGAAGCGTAGCAAGGGACAAGCTTGCAATTGGTGCGGATATCCGCCGTTTTTGATTCTTGTAGACCTCCTAAATGCCGGGATTTGAGATTGATGCAGTTGTTCGGTGCTGCCTGGGGCCTCAAAATGGGACGTCACCCCGACACGGACAACTGGGACCACAGGTGCAAATAATGTTTGCTTAAATTGAAAGGAAGCCAGAACCATTGGGTGCATTCAACCCCAACGGTCTGTAAGGGGTAACACAAAGTTGGAAAGGCCCGGAAATAAGTGCTCTGACTGAAAACGCAAGAGCCCTGAATCAAGGTAGGGGTCCTTGATATGTGCCATGGTCAACTGCTCTGATTGCTAGGGAATTTGAGTACGGCACATATGACGCGTGTGTCAGATGGCACAGGGCATTCAGCAACTATGCTTCAATCACAAGTTCCTATACATAGGAAGTAAAGTGGATTTAGGCGGCTTGCTTCCGGAAAAAGAGGCCAATGGTTTCCCGCACCAAAAAGGAAGCCACGTCGAACACGTGCTCAGGCGTTTGGCTTGTGCAGTGAAGTCGAGCCTTGAATCCCGAACTTCCTCATCTGCTGAACTGCATCCATCAGCCCGTGCCGACGCGTCTTGATGTGCTGCATGGTTTAGCCCGTCGCACGGGCCACGGGCTCCTGCGTCTGAGACCCCCTCCAGGTTGGCTTGAGCTGAAAGGCGGTTACGAAGGTACGGGTCCGGAAGAACAAAGACATGGCTGAAAGGAGGTGACCCCAAGAAAACCAAAAGAAAACCAAGCACTTGACAAGCCCCCCAGTTTTGGGACACCACCTGGAGTTCCTGGGGTTGGCCGATCCACATGCCTGTCCACTAAGTGCACCCGTGCTGTGCAAAAAGCAGTCGGGTGCTGGCTTGGGGGTTTATCCCAGTATTGATAGGATTTCGTGCATCCCAACTGCTGCCAAAGTTTGCCCATCCACAGCAATTTGAGACAGACGGACCCATTTGGGTGTGCCTGTTTTTGGTTTTGGGGACCCCCGCAAATAGCATGGAAGTGTTCCTTCACCTTCCCTTAAAAAAGCAACAAAAGGGGCAACCGCAAGAAAAGACACATCCATTTGGCGATAAGGTGTCCTTTATTAGGTGAAGTTCCTGTCCTCCATGAAGAAGCCGGGGGCCCAGACAGGGAGTGCGCGCATCAGCTGCGTACCTCACTTTCCCAGTTCCCGGACGTTAAGCATCTAGGCATTGGCCAGTTTGGATTAGTTTGGATGACTAGAATTCGGTCTGAGTTGATGTGTCCATTATCATGTTAGGATGCTTATGTCCTGCAAGGGAATCAAATGCTAGGGAGCAATGGACAATATTTACCGTCATCTACTGCAGTAAAGGGGGCCACATACGACGCACAGCGATACTCGATAGCCCCGCAAAATGCTAAACCTGGAAAACCAGAGTGGGACTCGTCAAACATGTCGGAAACACAATGCTAGCGTAATTTTCAGACCCTGGCTCCGGCTTCCCTCTTTTCTTGTGGTCTCTACCAAGGTCAGCCTTTGAAGGCAGAACAAATCAGCAGCGCCTTCAAGAAAGCCGCGGATTTGGTCCCACAGAAGGAGCCAATCAGGAATCCATTCTGTTCGGTGGGTTCCCACTTAAAATGGGCAACCCCAAAACGGGTTTCCTTTCTCACCAGGGCACTGGGCAACTGGGGGAGGATGTCATGGCTGGGTGTCCTCCAGATCGAAAAGGAGTCCCAAGGCTACACGACAAACCACGAAGCACCCATGTCTGCAACTTGTCTGTCCAAATAGGTTGTTCCCAAGGTGGCCTATCAAAGACGCTTTCCTTTTGGTCTCCCTAGTCCATGTCAGGGGTACAGAGCAGACCTTTGGGGCCCCATTTCCGCTGACCCTTCTCCGGAACGCCTTCCGTCCCTGCACTTCCCTTCCGACTTTTGGAATTCAGACAAAGCCATACATTCAAAGGCTCAGAAAGCTCATCTCCTTTTGGAAGCCGGCTTGCCTGAGGCAATTTCCAGAGGACGACTCCCTGAGCGATGGGCCGAAACGCCTGCGGGTGTGGGACGCAAGTGGGACTTGGGTCCGGGGGGCAGGGTGCTTTGCGCAAGCAAGCAAACCATGAAATTCAGTTGGTTCCAAAAGTTGTTTCAACCAGACCTGGTCAACTTTACAGGAAGAAGCCAAAACGGTTGCTTAAAGGATTGGTGGCTGAACATGTTCAATGTTGTCCCACGTGGATGGTTTGCGGAAGGCGCTTTCTCTTGGAGCAGAGGGGAATGCCATGGAGAAAGAAGCAGTGGAGCCAAAGGGAGAACCCCATAGAGGGAATCTTTCGCTTGTCACTATGCGGGGAAGCACCTAGTTCTGCAAGGTGGGAACTCCAAGGCTACAAGAACTCAATTTGCTTTGAGCAAGTGCTTGCATGTCTCATTCATTACCAGGGAAAGCAAAGGAGACCTTGCTTCGCTGGTCACAAGTAAGCAAGAAGACCGATGAGAAAAAACTTCGCTCTTCCCCACCAACACATGAAAGTACGTAAACCTCCTTCGGAATGCTACTTTCCGTTTAAACGCGGAGCTTGCCTGTGACAGCTCCTTGGTTGTGAGGGGTAAACCACTCACACAAAGCAAGGCTGGAGCAGCGCTTGCAACTGCGAAAAAAAACTCACCACCTCCAACCGGAGCCAGCGCTGCTGCCTCTCCTTGGGCCCGCTTTGATCTTGAAGCGCCCTTCGGAGCAAGACATACTTCGAATGCATTTGTCTACCCCAATTACAGGGTTGTTCTCCGGAGAGCTTGGCACATTCGTCGGTTTCGCTGTGCCCCGCTTTTGCTCAGCTGTTTGTTTGTTTGTTTGTTTGTTTTTTTGCACAGAAGTGACATCCTCTAAAGAGAGAAAGTGGCCCAAAAGGAACATTGCGAGGACAAGCTTTGGAGGATGACTCTCCCGTGGTCCCGTTAGTTTTGGCCCATGGCCCAGGTCACGATGCGGGATGCCCAGGGCAAGCCCTTTGAGGCGGACGTGGTGGTCTCCGATGCCAGTACCAACGTGAGGAAAGCGAGCGAGAGATTGGGAGAGCAGGGCTCCATTTGGATTTCAAGGGCTTCAAAGAGTGGAACTGGTTCCCCCCAGGAAGGACTGAAGCCCATTTTGGTGGATTGCAAGGAGGATTTCTCATGACGATGCAGGTGGGAAATTAGGGATGACGGCATAATGTTCTGTTTTCCTGATTTCCATCCGCAATTTTGCCCAGAGGTGGTTGCCGTATTGGGCACATCAACCACTTGGTCTAGTTTTTGCTTGGGGAAATCAAGAAAGGAACCCTGCCGGAGAGGCCGAACCGGACAAAGGCCGAGCCATAGTAGTCCTTTCGTTTCTCTTCAAAAAGCAGCTCCAAAAAGGGTACCAATTTCAACAAACACACACCTATGCAAACAAGTGTCCTGCCATGTCCTGCCTGCTTTCAGTTTGGTGGAAAGCAGGCTAGGTTTCAGTTTAGTTCTATCGTTCACCAGTCAGCGATATGTCCTGTTGTGGTCACGGTGGCCTTGACTGAGACAGGTCATTGCCGTTGCCAGCGAGGTTCCAAGAGAAACCCCGAACTGGGTACCTTTGCGATCGCGATCGGTTCTGCCGTTGTGTATGTGTTTGTTGTGTGCGTGGTGTGTGTTGTGTGTTGTGTGTTGTGTGCTGTGTGCTGTGTGCTGTGTGCTGTGTGCTGTGTGCTGTGTGCTGTGTTGTGTTGTGTTGTGTGTGTGTGTGTGTCTCTCTCTCTCTCTCTCTCTCTCTCTCTCTCTCTCTCTCTCTCTTTTGAGGGTATTCTTTCAGGGTTCCCTCGTCCCCTCTCCCTCTCTCTCCTCCCCCAATCCTCTCTCTCTCTCTCTCTGTGTTTCTCTTTCTCTTTCTCTCTCTCTCTCTCTCTCTCTCTCTATCTCTCCCCTTCCTCTTTATTCTCTCTCTCTCTCCCTCCACTCTGTGTCTCTATCTTTCTCTACCTCCTCGCTATGCCTTGTGGAAACATTTTGGCGCTTGTAGGACACCACCTTCTCCGGTGCTGGCAGATGACGCTTTCACCTTTCAGCCATCTTGTGAGATTGTTGATTAATTCCGTCATGCATCAAGGACTTCCAGTATAGTAGGATCCATCAGACATCAGGTTCTGTTCTGAGATATATCAGAGACTGCTAAAAGAGTGGGTTCTTCTAAATCAGAGGGCAGCCCCCAAGTTGGCATGTGCTACCATGAGCTGGCGAGCCCATCCACCCCCCCATCCATCCCCCCCCACCCATCCCCCCATCCCCACCCCCATCCCCCCATCCCCCCCCCCCATCCCCCCATCCCCCCCCCCCATCCCATCCCCCCATCCCCCCCCCATCCCCCCATCCCCCCCCCATCCTCCCCCCATCCTCCCATCCTCCCCCATCCCCCCATCCCCCCCTCCCCCATCCCCTCCCCCCATCCTCCCCCCATCCTCCCCCATCCTCCCCCCATCCTCCCCCCATCCTCCCCCCATCCTCCCCCCATCCTCCCCCCATCCTCCCCCATCCTCCCCCCATCTCCCCCCATCCTCCCCCCATCCTCTCTCTCTGCCCCCCATGTGTTCGAAAATGAGCCGTGGACGTGTTCGAAAATGATCCCGGTGCATGTGTTCGACAATGAGCCGACATCGGTGTTCGAAAATGATCCTCCTCCCCCTCAAGGGCACCCCTCGCCGTATGTCACTCGCCACCAGGACTGGGAAGATCTCCAAGCTGATGGCCCGAAGCCTACCACGGGGCTTGGAATTTTCAGAAATGCACCTGGTTGAACCTCCCCTTTTTTTTGTTTTCCTGAGGGGGCGCAACCTTCCAAGAAGGAGACTACATTTGTTGTAAGAGGCCTTCTTGGATTTCACTCGTTGACTTGAGCCAGCACTGAGTGGGCGCTGAGGTTGGCATGCACGTTCGCCCGGAGTTCCGATCACAGATCCTGGCAGAGGCGGGGCTGGGTCTTTGAATCGCAGGGATCTCCCGAGGGTCTCGAGAATCGGAAGGAATGCTGGGGCTGGTGGACTCATCGCTGACCCCAACCATGCATGTTTCAAGTTGTATGTGCAGGAGGGGGTTCAACTCCTGAACACATGGAAGCGTGTTTTTTGCCCTAGGTGACCTTGCATGCTAGGTGTGAAGGACGGTTTGAGCATTTCACGCTCTTCTTTGAGCCCAAAACTGCCCCGACGAGACTCTTGCTTGCATTTGAGACATATCAAACATGTCTTTGCCTTGCCAAGGGCTTCGCTGGTATGCTTTCTGTTTGGCGGTACACCTTTCGGCAGGCCCATGGTTGGGTCGTCAAATGAGCGGACTTTCATTTTGGACCCCATTGAAAGGCCAAGGGTCGCAAGAGGCGGCCTGCAAGCTATTTCGAGCGAAGAAGGATACCCGTTGATGCCCTCGCTTCTTCGCAAAGCACGGTTCAAGCAGGACGAACTGGAAATTAGAACCTTTTGCACTGCCGTATCTAGCCGAGACGTGCGCAGAGAGAGCAATGTGCCCTGGCAATCCGACTACTCTCAAAGGAGATACATAACCTTCCCCTCCCCCCCCCCTCCCCCCTCCCCGGCAAAAAAAGAGACTTGAACCCTGAAAGGGTGCTTGAACCCGCGGGGCTGCATGAATCCTGCGCAGGCCAAGCGCCGCTGGAGCAAAGGCGCGCCAGTCGAGATTTCTTCGGCCCAGGTTAGGAACCTGCTAGCCTGTACTCATGCGTCCCCCAAGTGGTGTACAGGTTGTGAGTGGGCTAACTTGGCCAAACATTCCGGGCGGCGTGTTTTCGCCAATATTGGCAGGCTGTTCAAAGGCAATGAAGTCCCGTGAGTTGGGTTAGGAAAGTTTGCGTCCCTTTGTAATAGCGGTTTTCAACAAGTATCATACCCGGACCTGCCAACCCTTCATTTTGATCTTGCTCAGAAGGAGGCCCTGAAACTGGTTCGTTTCGTACAAAAGGGGAGTCCCAATGTGGCTCTCGTTGCGCAAATCAAGCCGCCATGTTCCTTTGGACAGTCACTTGCGGATGTCTTTTGTTTGCCCACAACAACTACATCGCACACACATACATATACTCATTGTTCATTATAATATATATATATACACACACATATATATATAATTATATATATATATATGCATATATATGTATATATGTATTGTATCAATGTATACCAGATACGCTCCCCGCCCCCGAAATAATATATTTCTGGGGAAGCTGGCTTTCACTAAGGAGGTCCACTTCGGCCCTTGTCCGAACGGGCTACCACCCTTTGTCGGTGACAGAAACCATCAAAAGTGTAATGCGCTACGGCAGAAATTGACATGGTATAATTCAGGGCAACCCTTTTGGGGTTGATGGGGCAGCCAACGGACAACCACTACTTTGCGGGTTACTCATTTGGGGACGAACCTATCTGTACCAAGTTTCTTGTGGTGAAGTTCCTCTTTGGATTTATGTTTGCAAGTTTCGCATGCTGGGTTCCTGTTGGCCTCCTTTTGTGCGACACTTGCCACGCTGGGTCCAAAGTCAAGGAATTCCAAGTGTCGTAGGTTGTGTTTTCGGTTCCTGCAACCACCATGCCTTGCTGGTGCGATAGGCAGGGAATGAGAAATGGAATGACCCCGAGAAAACCCATCCAACTGGTGGTTTCCTTTCTTCGGGATTCCCCAAAACCGGTTCATTCCATTCCCTGCCTATGGCACCAAGATGCGCGCTGTGACTTGTGCGTCACGGCACGCCGGCCAGGCGCCTCGGATGGCCTCGATCTCAGAAGTTGGCCTGGAAAAAATCGAGGGTTTGTGTGGAACATGCTCACAACGCACACGTGTGTGAGTCTTTCGGCACAATACGCTTGGATTCCCCAAAGGCGGCGGGAAAACTTGTAGCTGCACCCTCAACATGCACTCAAAATAAACAACATGTCTTCCCACCGGGACGGGTGGACAAATCCGACTCGGATCTGTAAAACAAAACACCCGCCTCCTCAAAAACAGGATACTGACCCAATTGTTTTGGGGTGCTTCCCAATTTCGCGAGCTAGTTTGAGGGTCCGGGTATCAGTTCCGGATGTGAGGTCAATCAGAATACAAACACCTGATTCTGTTTTTTACTGTCCCTATCAGTCTCTCTTTCGGTCTATATCTCGGTCTGTCGTCTTCGCAAGGGAAGCTGCGCAACGCCAAAGGCTTGAATGTCCCAAACCTGAGCCCGGCAACTGACCAGCTCGACTTGCGAAACCTGATTCTCCGAATCCCGGAAATCTCTTTTGCGGGAGGTGGCAGACCCCTGGCGTTCGGGGCTCTGAGGCGTGCAGCCTTTGGCAGCCGCAGGTACCTAGCGGCTCGCGTTGCTTCGCTTTGGGAAGCCATGGGGATGTTGCATGCGACGGCTGAGTTGTCCAACACCAAAAGCTAAGCTTGCAAGCTTTCCAGGATTTCCCCACGGTAAACTGGTTTGCTACGTTATCTTTGGCAGCCATCTGACAGCCATTGCCGGGGCCTGGGGTGTTCTATGCCTTGTATAGTTGCTGGAGCCAAATTTAAAGCGCTGTACTTTCAAGACGGGATTTGGACCAGACCTCATGAACCCATTCAGGGCTCCTTATATTTTCCTGTGTGGAACATTCCCTAGTTTCCTTCTCTTGGGGTGATGTGTAAAGGGCACACGTCAGCCTTTCGCGGGTCTTTGGAGCAAAGCGACCCCTGCCAGCCTGGTGGCCAAATCACTGGTGGTTCCCAAGCCTGGCCCACTTCTAGGTTTGCAGAATCGCCTGGTGCCATTGGGTTACAGTCGACGTTTGCCATCCATTTTGTGCCGGGCTGACGTGGGGGGGGGGGCTCACCGCATTTTTGCTCGAGACGGTTTTCATTCGCCGAAATCCACGGGGACTTCGAAGCAAGCCTCTGTGAGTCCTTGCAAGGGGGGGGGTCGACAAAACCAACATGTTTTGAAGCTTGAGTAAACCGCAAGAGGCGGAAATGGGATGAATAATACCGATTCATTGAATGGAAACACATTCAACTGGATAGCTTGGTTGTAGGGGTGCCCTTGTTAATTACTCACTACCCGACATAAACCCACGCAGAGCTGTGAACGACCATTTCATGCCTGTTCCGGCATAGCTTGCCCAATCCCCCGCTCTGTACGATGGAGATGTTGGGGTCGATTTGGCCATGAATGTCTCCGTTTGCGGCTTGCAACTTAGGAAGCTGCCTGCTTCCCTATTCAAATAAGTTGCGCTGTCGGCTACTGGGCTTAGGGTATTCCCGCAAAATCGTCTCCAAGTGTCCATGGCACCCCCCTTCCCCGGGAATCAACCACTTTGGTATCAAAGAATCACAACAAGATATCTCATGATTTAGCATGTTTTTCTGCCAAGTTTTGGAAAAACTCTGTCCACTATGCGTGTTCCTACCGGATTCCCCGCTCCCTTCACTTGAAGCAGTTCGCGCAGGTGATGTGCTGGGCCTTGAGAAGGAGTCCGGGACCCAGTTGCTGCAAGCGAGTGGATGCGGGCCTTAGGCGTCACGGATTAGTGGTGGGTTCCACCCGTATTTCTGTTTGGGGCTAGCTACGGTTAGATTCCCTGCGTGCCATTTTTTGGTCAAGGTCCCAAGGGTGAGCCTTTCATTTGCGGTCCTTTGTTCTGAGATGTTGAAGGCTGCACATTGATCTTACATGGCAAGAAGTGAGTCTCCTTGGTGTCTCAGGTAGACACTCAATGAATCATGTACTGCCCTGCGCAGATCAAACGGGTTTACCTTTGGCATCAGCTACCCTGCCACCAGCAAGCATAAGTCGGCTTTTCCTTTTCAAACAGAGGGCCTGTGCACCACCCCATATTTCGATATTTGTTAGTTGGGCAGTGCAAACAAAAATGGCCAGTGACGCATGAACCCCCTTTGCCAAGATCAGCTGCTGGCAAAGGGTTCGAGTTCTGTTTGCCCCATAACCCACCGCCATTCGACCTTCAGGCGCGCCGGAGCGGCCAAAGGACCGGACCGGGCGACCCTGCGCTCCGGTTCAGTGGCGTTTCTTTGGGTTGGGGATCTAAATGTGGCCGCACAAAGGGCTGCTTTTGCTCGTGGGTGTGCCTGAACTGGGAAAAGAGGGGAGCGGATGAGTTTGGGTAAACTTAAGAATGATCCCCGCGTTCGTTGCTTCCTTGGGTTTGGCTAGATCCTTTGAGAAGTCCAGGTTTTCATTGTGACACCTGGTGTCTCAGAAGTTGGAACGCCCAGGGAAAGCCAAGGAGCCAACCACCAAAACGGTGAGGATCTGGGCATGAGGTGGAGCCAATATGGAAGCCCGCGGCCTTTGCGGACGGTATTTTGAGCAGTACGCACGTGGGAAAGGTCAGCTGGCTCAGTTGTGTTTGCTGTTGGATCATTGCATCATGATCCCCTAGATTCAATTCAATACATGTAATATGTTGCAGAATCACCAGGATTGATCAGGATTGATCGCCTCACCCCCCGGGTCAGGAATGATCCCGTCACCCGGGATCATTTCGGTTCACCGGTGTGCACACCAAGGAGCCCCTGCATCCAATGCGCGAGGTCCCATTCCCAGAAATGGCGTCACGGCCGGGAGATGTCCTCCTGGCTCCAAGGCTTGAGAACCTTCGAACCTTCGCCCTGGCCCCGAACGAACCAACCCCGTAGGGTGTCAACACATGCCCGAGAACTGGGCCAAACGGCAAGTGACTGCGACCTCACAAGGCGAGCTGGTGATCTCGAAGTTTCCTTTCGGCATCTCGGTGAAGCATGCTTCACCCAGGCTCCTTGACGGTTCTGACCCGAAAATGGCCATGTTGAGCACGAGGAAAGGCCATGTAAAGATCCTAAGTTTCGATACAGCCAAAGGCCATGTGCAAGTCGATGTGGCTTGTGTGCCTGTCTCAGAATTGTCAGAGAAGTAGATTGCTTATGCGAGTTTACCAATTTTGAGGCACAGTTCAACGAGAAGGCCTGGAGGAACATCCCCTGGAAACCAAGAAACTGGGTGCCAAATTTGAGACATACACAAAGCCATATCAACATTTGCTGCAATGCAGTCTGGTCAGTTGCGGAGCCTAACCGGAAATCGGGAGGACAGGCCGATTCTCGGGGTTGGACCCTATGACAGGCTGTTCTTCCCAGTGGTATCACAGACTACTCATTGGTGCCTTCCCAGACTCATGGACCCAGTAGCCAGAGGGTGCAATTCCCACCCACTCCACATGAAAATCAAACAAGCAGTCCATTCAGAACCCACGTTCCAGGAAGGCATCAAGAAAGCGCACAGGAAATTTGTAGCCATCCATGAGACCATCGCCAATATACCCTTACTAGGGTGTGTTTCATAGACCTCGTGTGAACTTATCCAGATGTTTGGCTCAGATGGCCATGATCCAACCATGTCCGACCATCTTCACAGGTTCTCAACAGTCCCTCTGACCACCACTGAAAGGGCAATGTTATGGGGATCTCTTTTCAGCAAATCATTGATTTGTAAGGTTTACTTACTGTAGACCAGAATCAATCATATATAATATGAGCATCTGACAAATTCATTAAGCAATCATTACTTCTTGAAAGGTGGCGAGAGCCCTGCAAAGCGAGATGGTGCCGCCCAAAAGCAAGAGCCCCCCTTGAAGTGCAGCTAGGGTGGACGGGGAGCATGCCGAGGGCATCAGCAGATTCAGATGTGAAAAAACGCTCTGGACCGCGCTTGCCTCACGGATGTCGCAGCGCTTAAGGCTCCCAGCCGACGGCGCCAAGCCTGGGAGGTCAGAGTGTCAGGGACGATGGTCCAGCCGAAAAGCTGGACCCCCCCCCAATGATTGTAAGCTAGGCAAGTATTTTTAGTCCCCCGCTATGACGTTTGATTCGGGGGCACTTGGATGAAGTCAGCAGTTCGACCTTACCCTACGAGAACAAGACTCCAGGAGCCGAGGAGCAGCGGATCCAGCAGGAGCTGAGCCCGGCAACCCATGGGGAGTGCTGAGGGTCCAACCTCGCCCCCCACAAACCCACGCCTTTCCTGGTTTTCTATATAGAAGGTATTGGGGTCGTATTTGGGGAAACAGGGGAGGGGGTAGAGCAGGCGGGGGTTGTGAGGTTCAATCATCACCTTGGGGTTGCCAATGCGAAATGAGTACATAGGGAACCTTGGGAAACTCCAAAAACGCTGGTTTGCCTTTCGAACAACCCAAAGTGGCTGGCTTGAAAAACAGTCATGCAAGTAAAACAGAGAGGCACGAGGCGATGTTGGTTGCTCGTTGGTTTGACCGAAATTACATTTCCCTCAAAACTCTTTACACTCCATGTTTGCAGTTTGGGCGTTAACCTGAATTCAGTAGCAAGAGTCATATCTTGGGGGTCAAAGGCCCAGGGTTGGATCCTCTGGTTTTTCTGGGCTCCCCACGTGAACATTTTGGGGGATTGTCAAGACTCAAGACTCAAGACTGGATTATTTCCTTTTTGCCACCATTTCACTAGTGCTGGGTTTGCTTCTTTGCTTTGTCATCAGGAGGTGCTGCATTGGATGTGCGACGTTCAAGTGTGTTAGCCAAATGGTTGCTTCCATGTGGCATCCTGTGGACGTACTGACAAGTGACCCAAGACACATCTTTCAAACCACGCTGAGCAAACCATACAATCCATTTCGCTTCCTCCCGGGATTGATCGAAGACACACCAATTGCATCAGCGCTGTCCTTATTGGCAAAATGGACAGCTTCTCGGCACTTGAGGCTACACAAGCGACTTACTAGAGTCTTTGAGTTTCCGCGCGAAACCAACATGATGTTCCTTTCGTGCAAGCTCTTTGAATGTCCCTCCTGGGTTTCAGAGGACATATCCTCAAGTCCGACCAGAGAAACACCTCCGAAGCTCGCCCTCGAGGCCAAGAGCTCCTCTCCGTCTACACGGATCTCCTGCGCCGGTGCGACGGAGCGGGTGGCCCGGGCCCGGGCCCCAGGCGCCGGGTCCCCGTTGGCCGAGCTCTCCTTTTGGGCGGGAAGTTCTTGGCTTGGGCGGATGTCATTGTTGCCTTTTCAAAAGCATGGGTGAGATTTTCTGAAACTGGCTTCATGTGGTTGTCGCTCTCTCCTTTAACTTGGAGTGGAATATCGCTTTGGAAGGTAGGCCAGATGGTTTTGCTCCCAAGGATTCAGGCAGAAGAGCAACCCTCTTTGAACCTGGCCCCATGGGCTGATCTGTTCAGGTCGCCATGAGGTGCCCTTTCGGAAAAAGACGGACGGCGGAGAAAAAAGGCTATCTTTAAACCCGCAACCACGTTCAGTTGCCCCCTTTCGTGGTGGACCATTGCCAACTTGGGCTCATCCATCCGCTGTGAAAGGCGAAGAAGCGCCATGTAGCACAGCCACTTTCTGAAATCACTCTCGGTTTTTGGTTGGTCGGTTGGTCTGTTGGTTGGTTGTCGGTTGGTCGGTTGGTCGGTTGGTCGGTTGGTCGGTTGGTCGGTTGGTCGGTTGGTCGGTTGCTTGCTTGCTTGCTTGCTTGCTTGCTTGCTTGCTTGCTTGCTTGCTTCCTTGCTTGCTTGCTTGGTTGGTTGGTTGGTTGGTTGGTTGGTTGGTTGGTTGGTTGGTCAATCATGTTGGGTCGCTCCTAGCAAAATTATTAACAGACAAGAGACACAGATTTAGTCGCCAACATCACGTGTCACTGTAACACAGTTCCCTAAATGCAGCAGCCCCATAGTCCTTAAATTCTATTTGGTGTCCCTTGAAAGAAACCGCAAAATTGGCACCCTCGATTTGTGTTTCCGAAAAGGACATTCCCATTGCCTCATCTCTGCAGGTGTCTTGCTAAGCCAAACCAAAAAGGGCAATCTATTTCCAACCAAACTGACCTATAGAGAACAGAGAATTTGGCTGGCTCTCAGGAGGTCACCAACAATGATTCCATGCAGCAAGAGGGCGTCGTATTGACCTAAACAGGACGTCCATGCTCACGTCCCTGTCCGCTTCACCGAGACCGAAGCGCCCAAAGCGCGCTGGAGTCAGGAGCGGGGCGTGGGCAGGTGGTGAGAGCTGATAAGAAGCAAGCAGGAATAGGTTCCACTTGTGCTGGTTTCACTTTGCGGTGGTTTTGGGGGGTTCCAACAGTGGGCGCAGATGCCCTTGAGTTTAACGGGAAAACTGCAGTGCCCTGGTTCCAGGAAGCATGGAAGCTGACAGGTCGGTTTTGGACAACTTCTGTCCATTCCCATTGCTGAGGGTGTTTAAGATGTCCGGCCCTCGGATGCATGGTAACCCAGGTCCCCCAACCAGTAACCAGGGGGCAGCACCCCCCCCCAATTTATAGGGGATCCTTCACTTTTGGGGGGGTGAACAAGCCCTTGCTCATCCGCAAGGTTGATCCAACCCCCCCTCCAACAGGGCCTGAATACTGGGAGCAACCAGGTTGGGGATGGGCGGTTGGAATTCTATGGCACGATCCGACTCAGCGTGCCAGGCGGGCCACCCAAGATCCGGCTGCACCGGTCCAACTACGAGGCGCGCGATCGGAAGCTTGCCACTGGACCAGGCACGCTTGTTTTTGCAATGTTGATCCTAAAATGATGATTGAGGTGTCGGCACTCTCTGGGATAGTGAGTAACAATCAGTTAGCACGCGGAATCCCAAATGTGGCCCATCCATTTCCTGGGAAGTCTCCAATTGTGTGTGCCAACTGCCCGTTGGTTGGTTGGGTATGCTAGTTGATTGTTACTCACCATAGTCAAGCTGGTTGTCAGACTTGTACAAACACGCGACGCGGTTCATTCCTTATGAAATCTCCGATTCAAGCGACGCATTGGCTTGTAGGAAAAATGGATGGGCCATTGGGCCACATTCCCTCACTGCCCATACCCTTTAGTTGACTGCAATTACACTCATAAGAACGGGTAATTCGAAGAGCCATGCTTGACCTCGTTCAGAATCGCTTGCATGCGCGTGAAGGACCCCGCTCAACGCAAAGGTTTCCCAGCGGCTGGTTTTGGTCAAACTGAGGTTTGGGCTGTTCTCCCCCACTTGAAAGCACAGCATGCCAAGAATTCGGAAACAGTTTAAGGATACATTTGCCCCCTTTGGGCAACCTTCGGGCAACTCACAACAACTCTGTGGTTTCGATGGGGTGATTTCGAAGCGCACTTGTCCATTAGCAAGGAGTAAGTTGCAAACCCTGCAATTTGCCATGCGCAATGCTTGACTACCTAGCTTCCTTTTGAATCCCCCACACAAACCATGCCAACGTTGTAGGGTTTCCGACGTTTTCCCTCGCTTCGGGTTGAAGAAAGCAACCGCTTTGAACGACTCACCGCGGAGTTCGATGGCGCGCGCCTTTCGGCCAGTCCTTCCGGCAGCGGGGCTCCGGGCTGGGCAATACCCGGCCGAAAGCTGAGCGGGCTGTGGAAAGGGGTCTCCGCAGTAGAACATGAGTTTGGTTTCCGGCGGCCTTTTTCTGTTGAAGCTTCGCGTTCCCTGGCAGCGCTCCAGGTGGGGAGCATTGATTTTGAAGCCGATGTGTCTTGCTTTCAACAGTTGCGCAGGGTTTGCCGGTCAGAAGAACTTGGCCGACATCCCGGCGGGTCCCCCAAAAGGAGAGAGCAGTCGAAACGGTGGCATTTTGGGTTCAATGTCAATCTGCAGGAGTGTAAGGGTCATTTTTGACACGTGCTGGGTCTGAGAAATTGCCTGGAGGGCCCCTCATTTTCTGAACAGCAGGGGTGATAAGCAATCCAGACATTCCCAAGTGGGGATTCTGAAAAGTTGGTCCTCGGCAGATGACATAGGACGAGAAGACCAAGGAGATTTGCGGGTTGGTCAGGCTTCCGCACCAGGAGCAAGCGAAAGAGGAGTGGATGCACACACACACACACATAGCAGTCATATTATTCATGGCCCCTCAGTTCGGGCCGGGCCCCTTCTTGGTGGGGAACTTTTCCACTGGAAGTTCTTCATTCATGACTGAGGGCTTATTGATCAGGGACAAACAGCTGTGGTTCTTGAGCACCCATCAGAATGCAGAGAGGGGGGAGACCAATAATGAAGTTCCTTTGCGTTTTCATTGCTTCTGAAGCACGTTGCCCTCCGGCAGATTAACGCGGAGCCCCGAGAAACCGGCATTGATAGACACAACTCCTTGAAGGGAACCCCTTTTTGGTTCCATGTTAAATTGCAAGAGAGTTGATGAACAATGGCACTGAAGTTTGCAGCTAGCAGCCGGACTGCAAGAATCCGGCCACCATTTGCAGCTGCATGACAAGCTTGAATCCTGCTTGCTAGGAAAAGCATGTTGGTGGCCCGAGTCTTGAAGACACAAGATGTTCGAACCGCATGAAGTCACATATTGTAAAGGTGAAGTACAAACTGGGGTCTTGAAACACAGCTGAGCGCATCATTGATTCTTAGGCTCATCTCCGACCTCCTAACGAAATCTCAAATTTATCCAGACAACCACAATCAAATCTACATAAATTATAAATTAATTCCAAAATAACAAACATAATTCATAAATCACATAATATTTCAGAAATTCTATGATAAATGAATATATTGTTAAATAAATATTATTAATACGTGTGTACATATTATATTTAGAATTATGATTGAATTATTATCATTTATGATGATTTGGAATTGAATATGTTTGTTATTTTTATATGTTTGTTATTTTTATGATTATATATATAATTTATATGAATTTGTAATAAATTGATATGGGTTTGAACATGATTTTTCCAATATTAAATTGTATTGTATTTGAAATTTGATTGAAAATAATTTGAATAATTATATATTTAATTATTTGAAGTTAGTTTTTTTAGGACGAATATTGAATTATTAATTTGAATATGTTATATGATTATGTATGATTGAATTATTTATTTCTATTTTTTATTAAGGTGGAATTTATGGTTTTGTTTTAATTATGATTTTTGATATATATATATATATATAATATAAATATTTTATGATTTTTTGGAATATAATGTGATGTTCGTGTTTAAAATGATTTAGGGTGGAAACTAGGGGATTTGATATTTGAATTATTTATTATATATATATATATGGTTTATGGAATTTGGGAATAGATACGCTTATATATTTTAATATATTATAATTATAATTTATGCTTAATAACTAAATATTTTGGGGTTTTAATTTAGATAGATTTTGGGATGCGGGTTTTATTAGGTTTTATTGGGGATTTTGTTAGGGGGATTTTAATGAGGTGTTTATTATGGTTTTATTGGAATTTTATGAATTTTTTCGATGGTTGGGATGATTTGAGGAAGATTTTATGAGGGTTTTGTTATGGGTTTTATTAAATCTTTGTTATGGGCGGAATATTACATAAAATCGAAATTAAAGATATTCGGTGTATATTTATTGTTTTGTTTTGCATTATTTTTATTTTGGAAATTTATTTTTATTGGAATTGTTAATATATTTTTGATTTTTTTTGGTTGATTAGTCGATTATATTTTGTATTTGATTAATGTTGTTTAGGTAATGTAGTCCGAAATGTTGGTTTTGTGGTAAATTAAATTTATTATAGGATTTATGGCATAATAAAAATATATTTGATATAAATGAATATTATTTGGATTTTGCCTAGAAATATATTTTAGATTTTCCATTCTAGGAATTATATTGAATCGAATTAAAATTCCGGAACACCGATATTCTTTTCTATTTTTTTTCCTCCTTCTTTTTTGTTCTTTTGTTTGTTCTTTCTTGCTCCATACTATTTTAGCTTTAACTATTGTATTTAAATAATCGATAAAGAATGATTATCTAGCATTTTAGCTTTGGCTATTGCATTTAAATAACCGATCAAGAATGATTATCTAAATTAATATTCTAGAAATAAATATAAGTCGTTTTCGATACGATATGGTATTCTCGGTTGAAACGATTATATTTATATGCGGCTTGCTAGCATTCTAAAGTGCAAACCGCTCGCATAATCGTTCTAGATCCCCGTTCTAGATATATTTAAAACATAGCAGAACAATTTGCCACCAAATCCATATATATACATATGTGCCATGTAAATAGTTATGCTTCTTATGTGGCCCGTCACCCAAGAAGCCTTCAAGGACGATATGTGTTAGGGCTTTGGAGACATAGACATCTTTGAAGGATACCCTGTGTTGGCTTGCGTATCGATGGACATCGGCTTACGCCTCCTAGCCTTGTGTATCGGCTGGCGCGCGTGACGGGCGTGATTATAATATATCGATGTCCCAATAATACGAGGGTGGTAACGATGGCGGCGCGCTCCTAGTCTACCCATCCATCCATCCATCCATCCATTCATCCATCCATCTATCCATATTATTGTAAATGATTGTATGCTTGAGGATTCCATGCATGTCCTCCGAGAGGTCCGGAACAAGCGACCTTGCGTAATTGACTCGTTCCAGACGTCCGCGTCACCGCGGAACGTTCCACACTAGAATATTGACCCACACCTACATGTTTTACGAGATATGTATTTAATTTTGCATAAATTATGGAAGAATTTTCAAAAAAAAGAGATTTTAATAAAATTATAAGGACGATATCTAAAATTCCCGATTGCATTATTATGTTCCGATTAATTATATTAAATTGTTATTTCCTAATTTTCTGGATAGATTTTTAAATTTTTATTTTCGCTTTATGAAATTAGAAAGTGGCATTTTTAGTAATATTGGCGGTGAGGTAGGTCTTCGGGAGTTTTGCGAGGATTCTAGGAAGATATAATATTATTGGGGATATTACTTGAATTTATTAATTTATTTTATATATATTTATATATTTGTAAATTGTAATTATAAAGAATAAACATTTGAATAAATACACATATAAATAAATATATATATAATACAAACAACTAATATTAAAAAATAATATAGATAAATAAACGGATAAATAGGCAAATGGATAGAACGATAGGGTGATTATCGGTCCCAGTCCCAGTCTCCAGCAGCGCTGCCAGCCCACAGCGGGTCATCGGCCATCTCGGATGCCAACTTCCATACCGTCTCCTTCTTCTCCTCAGCAATCAAGCGCCGCAGCCACAATTGCATGTGGGTTATCAGCTGACAACGAACTGCTTGCGCGCCAGCACTATTATCCATCAGCGCCTGCGGCGCGACGCCTGCCAAATACTGCGTGGCCATGCTAAATCAATTATCTTAAAAATATTTAAAAATAAATACCTAATAATAATAAATACTAATAAAAAATAATAAATAAATAATAATAAATAATAAATAATAATAATAAATAATAATAAATTAATATAAATAATAAATTAATTGAAACTATATATATGTTTATATTAAACCATATATTTTAGATATATTCTTTATTAGGCTCAATTATATAAATAAATATATTTCTCTTATCAAAAATTTCATCGTCCATTTCATAGATATTTCTCATAGATAATTCATTATTCGGCGATTTATTTAGCATATACTTTCTGCAATGTAATATATCCCAAAAAAAGAATTAATGAGATTATGAATTAATATAAATAATAAATTATAAATATTATCAAAATAAATATTTAATAAAATTGAATTTAAAATATATTTATTTAAATTTAATATGATTCTTTTTTTTATATTCCAATAAATTCCATCATTCCTATATTTCGTTTTTTAAATAGAATACATTTTTTTACTATTACCCATTACTAAATCAGAATCTAAATGACCCTAGACTCCCAAATTTTACAACGAAGAACAAACCAAAGGTTCCTTATATCTAATAAATTATTATATAAGCCTAATCTATTCAAAAGAAATCATAATCAAAAATAATTTCATTCTCCCAAACATATAGATAAATGTTATTAATATATATTTTAATTATTTTCGATTATTAAATATCGAGATATATATAATATTTTTTGAAAATATAACAAAAACCATAGGTTCTAATATTAATTATAGGTTCATCGAAATTTTAGATATTTATGCATTATTAATTTCTTGATATATCGGTTTTAAAATATTTGAAACACATTTATTTAATTTTAATTTTAATTAAATATAATATATAGATTTAAAATTTACATATAATTATATATAAATAATCATATATATATATATTAAATTATAAAACAATGATATATATATATATATTATTTCATTTCTAATATCGATAATTTTCCAAACAATTAAATTTTTTAGGGTCTCAACCCAAATAGGGTCCGGGGCAATCCGAAGCGGCCCTAAAATAAGATTCCACGAGGGCATTATTAGGCTTCCATTAGATTTCTCAATGAAAATTCCATAAGGTTTTACGAAAATTATATATTTAAAAATACTAGTGTATATTATTGGGAATATTATTTAAATTTCTTTTTTAATAATATATATATAAATATTAAATATTTGAAATATAATAAATATCAAAAGAATAATATAAATATATAATTGATTTCATTTCTTAAAAATAAATATATTTTAAATATATATTTATAATCAATATATATATATAATATTATACATATCATTATAATTTAAATAATTGTATATAATTATTATATTTTTTTTTTTTTTTCAAATCATTATTATTAAAATTATAATAAATTCAATATTCATTAAGAAATATAATAATAAGAATTAATATCATGTTTTTCCTCCAACAGCTGAAAAGTTAAGTGTCTCATCCCAAATAGGGAGCGGCCCTAAAAAAAAAAAGGTTATACCAAACCAAGGTTCCGCCAAAGTTCCATAAGGATTCCATTAGTTTACGAGGGCTATGGGGTTAATCCGGGGTAATCCGTAGCTATTTGAGGTAAAGCTCTACCAAGATTCCACCAGGGTTTTATCAGGATTCCACCAAGATTCCATCAGGGTCCGAGATGGCTTAAAACAATATTCTACCAAGATTCCGCCGATTCCATAAACATTCCATTAAGATTCAAAGACAAAGTAAAATTCTATAAGAATTATACCAAGATTCCGTCAAGATTCCATAAGATTCTACGAAAATTTTAAGATGGTCCGAAGTAATTTAATATAAAATTGCACCAAGGTTCCACTAAAGAATTCCATAACAATAATTTAAAGATTCAATAAAATTATAAATTTCCATAAATATTCTATAAGATTCCAAAATTTATAAACCAATATAAAAATTTAGCATTAAATATAGTTTTATTTATTTTATAAATTCATAATATAAATTTCCGCCAACAAAGCATTCCATAAAATATTCATCAAATTCCATAAAATATAAAACAACCCTAAAAACACAATCCATCAAATTTTCTTATTAAATTTTGTAAAAAATCCACAAAAACGGTTTACGAAATTCCCCGAGCCTAATTCGACACAATTACACTATCTATCAAAACCCAATTACACCATTAAACCCCGATTAAATTTCCATCAAATTCCGAATTATACCAAATATATAATCAATAAAATTCAACATACAACAATTGTTTATAATATCAATATCTATATTATTTAGAGCATATTTATTTATCAAACCGATGATATAATATGTGTTCATTTTTGGGACTATAATATGGAATGTATGTTTTTCAAGGTGAAACCCTTACATTGGCTCAGGGTATGCCTTGGGCAGCCCCCAAAAAAAACGCTTCCACTAGGCCTCATCTGGCAAACATTGCGGGATCCACACCTGGGAGGCGTGGCCGGTTCGTTTTGATACACTTCGTGTCTTCCTTTCAAGCTTCGCCCCAAAGAGGGTCCTTGCTTTGACGCCCAAACCCAAACACGAGGCACGAACTAATAGAACCTTAATTGAGGACTGTCTGGTGGACAAAAGTTTCATATGCATGTCTGTGCATGTCTTTTTTGAGAGTTGCTGCATCCTGCTCTGCAATTCAGCCACATGCCCCAAGTTGTTGCCACTGACCAAGACCGGAGGTCACATGCAAGGTTGCCGCTGTACTTGCAAATTATGTTCAAGCGGTTGCGCGCGAGGATCTCCACTTCTCGGCCATGCGGGCCACAAAACTTCCAGCGCGTGGGCAGTGCCCACTTCGTCGGCCACGAGGATTTTCTCCGTCGGCGACGTCCAGGGCCAAACCTTTCCCCCGCCTCCCAAGAGCCCAGCTGCGAGCTGCCCACGGCTTTGCCCAGACGCGTGGACGCGTGGCGCTGCACGTCACCAACCGCGTAGAAGCTCATGCCAGCCATGTCCCTCAAGCACGATAGGTAATCAACGGTGATCTTCACGATCGCCATGATCATTCATCATTATCTTTCTCAATGACTGTGACATTGGTGGCCTCGTGTCGGTTGATCATGTCTCTCATTCTCGGTGGCAGGGTGGCAGCTTCCTCCTGAAGCCTTGCAGGTATTGATGTACCTTTATGTATAGATTATGCGGTAGGGCAATTGCTAGAAGAACAAACACATCCGATAATTGGTTCAACCAGACCAATCACAATTGCGATACTACAATTTTCGCGCATCAACTATCGAGCAACGTTGCACCTGCCACCAATCCCCTTGGCTCGCACTGGTAGGTGGTTTATACATTCGCGCTTCATCCATCCCAACTCTGAACTGGCTCTTGAATCCCCTTCCCAAACTCAAAATCGCACATATGGAGAGCTTAGACACGCTGGGGGGAGTTCCAAAGTTTAGAATGCACCCCCGTTTTAGGATGGTATTTGAAGGGAACCAACCAGTCCAAAGCGGTCCCAAAGCAAAAACCACGAACACACTAGTCATGAGACATGTTCCCCAACGGCCTTCCCCATGCTTGCTTCAACCAGTCCACAGTTTTTAAAGTGTTCCTCTCCGCTGGAACCCGTTCAAAAGTTGCCACCATGAGGATACCCCACCTATTCTTTTGGTTTTCCATTAAAACCAACCAAAAGAACCCTCCCCCAGAAAACAACTCCCAGCATTGCACATCCGAGGTCGCCGCGCACGTGGGCCCGTCCATTTCACGATCTTGCCTCGGAGCTCGGAATCTTCGTGGGTGGGCGTTTTTGTTCAAATGCTATGAAGGGTTCTTGGAGGACGCCCCGTCTTTTTTTCCACGGGCAAAAGGACTTGCCCCTTTTTTCTGGCTGAATTTCAAGAGAAAACACTCCCCTGCAGAGGAAAGGCTTGGTACCACTGGCCAGGGTCTGGTTGCTTTTTCGATTGGTCATGTAGGGACATGTAGGAAGACACGCCCCGACCAAAGGAGGAAACGCAACCGAAAAGATGTCAAGGAAAGCAACCAAGGAAAGCAAGCCACGTCCTTGTCCTTAGATGATGGCCTGCCTCAAAGAAGAATCCAACAAACAAGGGGGCCTCCATTTTGGCAACGAATTCACAAGTCGCCAATTGCAATGAAGTGCGACCTCAGCACCTGCGAGCACACAAAAACAAACAATGTTCAAGCAAAGGAATGATTTCCTGGACTTTTGGAGGTTTTCCGTTTTGCTTTGCTGACATCATCATCATCATCATCATCATCATCATCATCATCATCATCATCATCATCATCATCATCAAATAGCTAAGTCGGTTTCACAGGAATCACATGGGTGGTGCCTTCAACTGGTGGTTGCTTTGGAAAATGCTTCGGCGGACGGATGCGGCAAAATGCAAAGGCTGCATGCTCCCTTGGAATCAGAGTTGCGGCTATGCTTACATTTGGGCTCCGAGCTGTTGCATTTTCGAAACCTCCGGCTTGTCAAGCACAGAATGAGAAGATGGAGAGTTGAATAGTTGGGTTTATGTTTGTCGATTTGGAAAACCAGCCCAACAAGGTCCCCGGCTCTGTTTGGCCTCAGAAGGACTGGACACAAGCAGTTGGGAATGACCATGGAAATCACTTGAAGGAAATCATGAGGGATGGTTCACAGGGGTCATTCCCTCTGTTCCCTAGCAAGCCTCAAGTGACAAAGTAGTGGTAAGGACAGTTCCACAAAAGGGGTTCTGTTCATCGGGTCGACACTACCAGGTTTTGATGACCCAAATGGATAAAGGTAAGCCTGGCCGGCAATCTCCAGCCGCTTCTTCGCCATGCCACAGAACGGGATCCGGAGGTTTCTCCGGCTTGCCTGCAATACCTCATGGCAAAACGCAAAAGTGGCGGAGGTATGGAGGGTGGGTTTATGGCTATCAACCATGTTTGAAGATGTTTCCAAACTAAATTCATAGCCACTTCAATCAATGGCGTGAAGATGGGCCTAAGCGGCACTCAACCGCTGCTTGTTGCATGCTCAAAGTCCTATAGTATGTACTGTCGAACAAGTACCCCTTGAGAGGTTGAAACTTGGTAAACACACAAACAGCTGTCAACAGGCAACCCCCCTAGGGAATGAATCAGGCGAGCCCTCCCCTCTGGACAATTATGGACACTCGTAGACCTCAAAAACCGATCCATAGGAAGCTCTTGAGGAACGGAGCCCCGTCTTGGGTTTGTCCGTGAACCCTCGGTTCCGACTTTTTCGGCGTTCTGATGGCCTTCCGATGGCTCATCTCGCATCGCCTGAGGAAAACAAATCAGCCTGGATCCCCAAAAGGGAATCATCCCCTCTTAGATGGGCCACAGTCTCCAAGTGGTGAAACTTGGAAAACAAGTATACATGATTTGCTGTCACATTCCCCAAACGTGGCAAGTAAGGGCCTTACTGAAGATCCTGCCTGAAGGTCTGTTGCCTTTCACGGCATAAGCCAGAGAATCATGCGCACTGCCTGCAATACTGCGATCTTTCGTGTACCTCGAGGGGGATGCTTGGAATGCTCGGAACCCAACCTTTAAACATTGGGTGGTTTTCTGTGTGCCTGCCTCTCGTGACTTCTTTGGCATGGGAAACAAAGTATGTAGCCGCCCCATGGGTGCAATGGGTACTTATTGTTTCCGCGTCCTTGGGGACATGGTGCTGTCGAAACAAAGCTCGCTGCAGGGATCAACCCTGAGAGGCCAGTGGCCACGGGCAGGAAACAAAGGATCACCAATTTCGTTGATCTTACAGAACAAAAACACAAGGACCAAAAGGAATCGCCCCGCCGGAGGTCTGGGAGCCAATTTTGGCCCGTCCAGTTTTCTCCACGCGCCAAGGGGCGCTCCAGCTGACGCACGGCGATGGCGAGATAGCCCTCCAGCCGCTTCTGGAAGTCTGCGGACTGGAGGTATTTCTCCAACAAGTCGAGGTCCGGGTCCTATTTGCCGAGTGTCGGACGTGAGATGGACGGGAGCAGCGGTTGAAGAAAAAAAAATGGCGCTGGGCCTCAGATTCATAAAAGGGCCACCTTCTGCTACCTTAGTTCAAACCTCAAAAGAGGCTATCACTTGTTAGATGCTTCAATGGGGGAGGAAGTGGGACTGCATTGGGAGAAGATTGGCATACCACGAGGAATCCGAACACTTTCAGGGACTCTCCTCTGCAGGCCTCCAATCCCAAGCCATCCAAACCTGCATAAGGGCCCAGCCACGCCGCAAGACACATTTTGCCGAGGTTGCCTTGTTTGCCATTCTGGGTTCCGCAGGCATGGTGTTGCTCACCTCTGAGCCCCGGGAAGAATAACCTATCATTTCCCAAATTTCACCCGTGACGATGGGGTTGGCCCCTGGCTTGGGACTGGGCGAACATTGCTCCGTGGCCTGAAACCGGGGACCGGGGTTGAGCTGCGTAGAAATGAGCGCCCTCACGAAGAAATCCAAAGCCGGTCCCAACAAACTGTCCGGCCATAGTGAAGGAAAGGCGGCTTGGACATCCCCATGTGTGATAGCCTCAGGGAGACCCCCTTCAAAATGGCCAAGTGGACCCACAAACGGATGAAAAGGTTGTTTGCCACAGTGTACTTGGCTGATCTTGGGACCCAAATGGAGTTGGCTCATTTGGGACCCCTCCCACTTTGGGTTGTTTTCAAAGGCAGCTAAAAAGAAACCAATCTTGGACACGCCCAAGTAGCCCTAGAAAAGAGTCACGGAAAATGTTGACACTTAGTTGACCCCCATAGCTTTCAAATAAGGGGATCCCGTTTTGCTAGTGTTTCAGGGGGACCCAGACCCTGGTGGATATCTTGTACTTGTCACTTGTGGCTTGCAAATTAATTTTACCCTACTCACCAGCAAGATGTAATATTAATTGCGCAAGGGCAATGCCAACCTGGGAGGCATGTCACAGTTTGTTGGCGAGGAAGAGTGCAATAAATGGTGGAGAACATGATATGTTGTGTCTATATATTGCAAAGGGTTTGTCTCTCATCGGGGCGCATCTGCGTCTCTGTTGATTTCCTGTGAATGAGTTGGTTTCGGAGGAAACCAAAGTCAGTTCATTTTTGCAGTTTGGATGCTGCGCTCGTGACAGCAACCACTATTTGGGTAGGCTGGGGTTTTCAATAATTGAAAGAACCTGACGATGTGAATTTGTGCCAGCTTCTGACTCACACTGGTAGCCACCTCTCGATTCAAAGTACACCCAATCATTTGCAGGTATTTTGAAAACAGCTCAAGTTGGCCCTACGACCCTACGATTTTGCAATTTCGCCAAGTTCGGAACGGAACCCTGCATCATAGATTCTGGAGGAATTGCATCATGCCTGAAATAACTGCGATTTCAAAACACTGTGAAATAGAGGCCCACATAGGGTCCCTTTCACGGCGTTTCTGCGTTGATTGCCCCCGAAACATCCGAAAGCAAGAGCCAGGCAAGAACCAAACAAAAACTCGAAAGTGGTTCCTTCATCCTGTCTGAGGTCAACCAACGTGCCCTTGCCACAAATACGACCCAAACTTACCCCTAATGAAAGAGACTCACATTCGCCGAACATGTGGCTGTGGCTCAAAAAACCGGTACCGAATTGGAACCCTAAGTGGAAACATGGACCAAAACCTGCGGTTTGCCCCTGCTTAATCTTGAGCCACAGCCGAAGATGTGATCAACGTCCTTCAAGTCCAGCTCCGGCAACAGCAGGGCCTTCTCTTCTTTCGCCTCCTTGGCCTTCGATCCCTCGGCCTGGGCTCACGATCCAAACCCCAGCGCCCCGATTGGCCTCAAGACCCCATCGGTTTCTCTGATCGGCCATGGTGCCGCGCACTCGAAGCCCAAGTCTTCGCATGTCGGAGACCAATCACCAACTGCACTGAATGGAATTCTGCAACTGATTCAAGACCCAGCCAGAACATAGTGTTGGCTGCGACATGTGTGTAACAAGGGATTGAAAAAGGCAGCGGACTGACCGACGGCCGCAGTGGAGCCGTTTGGACAATTTGCGCTACAAACGATCAAGCTGAGTGCAACGGTGCCCAAATTGACTGACTTGAGCAAGTATCCAGGATCCATCATTCACAAACGGAGTTTGGAATCCCCAAGTAAGGGACCTTCATGATGAGCGACTTGTCCTAGCCCCAGGTGAGCTTGTAACTAGCAAATTTGTGCGATTGAACACACCCTGGGGATGAGCGAACGGGCACTCCTCAAACTGATTTTGCGTTGAGTCCCTTAAAAAATAATCCACTGGAGGTGGGCTGCAGGATGCCTGAAGGATCTGGGCAAGTTAGAGGGGGCGCTCCAAGAATCGCCTTTTGGGTTGATCAAGATTCCTGGCCGCAAACATGACCATGCAGAACTTTTCTGTGGTGGAAGTCAAACATCTTTTGGTGGTTTCCCTGATCAACCCTATGGATTTGCAGGCCTGCCTTGGCCTTGGCCTTGACCTCTGGCAGGCTATCCTTGGTCGGAAGCCTCAGCATGCGAGCGAGCGAGCAACTGGGAGCCTTCAAAAAGGAGTTGGAACCCGGAACATGGTCTGATTGCTATCAGTTTCCCTTGACAACCCATCCAAATGGCTGGCTTACTAGTGATTTACTCCCAGTTCCCACGTTGGCACGCTGGAAAACTGGGCCCTCGTTCCCAAGTGACCTTCTTCAAAAAGCGGTGGCGGTGGCTTCCCGTGTTTCACGCCAGCACCAACCTTCGTTGACCCCAGATTCATACACCTTCATTGGGGTGCGTGCACCCCCCCAAAAGTCGACGATTCCCTCTAAAGCAGCACGCACCCCTGGAGTTATTCCAGGGCTCCCAGTTTTTGACACTTCCCCTCACAGAAAGCTCCTTGCCAAGCGGCGCGACAGGCGCGGGGGGCGCAGGGGGAGCGGGAGGCGGCGCGCCAGGTGGCGCGCCAGGCGGCGCGACAGGCGCGCCGGACTGGATGGAGTCGTCCTCCGATCTCCAGACCTCCAGCCATGGGGCAAAAGATGCCGCGGCTGCTGGCATTTTGTTAACTTCTTCTTTGCATGGAAAGGAGACCTAAGGACACTTCAGGAAATCAAGCAAAAAACTCCTAGTGCTTCTTTTTTTTTTGGTTTGGGGGGGATGTTTCCCGTAGCTCACTGTGATAAACCTACGACAAACCTGAAACACATATACGAAACGACGACCTAGAAACCAAGCAAATGTGTTGTCCACCAAAATGAAGCATCAACAGAGCAAAACGCTGCACACATTTGGGTTGGGGCTGTCCCCCAAATATGTTCAAACTACCCCGGGATTGCGGGTGCGAAAAAGACTTCGCAGAAGTTCCTCGTCTCTTCTTCGTTCAAGGAAAGCGCACTTGCCAAACATAGGTGCTCCTTGTTGGACTTCGTGTCGCCTCGAAAGAGAGGCGCAATGAGTGGATTAATTAAACCACGTCAGCACCGCACATGAAATTTGAAAGGATGCCAGCCAGAAAGGTGATCCTGAACTGCGAGATACCTAGGGGTCCCCAGGTTTGGTGGTTTTAAACGGAAACCAAACGCAAAACCAGCATTTTGGAGGTTCCCCACGCAAAGACGCACCCATTTTGTGGCTTGGTCGTTTTTCTTCTTAGAGCAAGGTTTCGAGGCCCGGGCGTCGACCGCTTCCAGATCGGGAACTTTCCTACCTGGCGGACAGGAAAGCAGTTGGGTGCCATTTACGCCCACGAGAGTCTTTGTCCCCATAGCACCCGGGTCGCAATCACTGCTTTTTGGGCCTTGGGAGTTTGGACATGGGGAAAAGGCGATTGTTGGGGGGGATCTTTGCGGGAAAGCACTTGATGTGTTTGGGTGTATGGGTAGTCATAGTCTTAAATCGGATCCCTGAGCTTAGCACATGCATCGCTGACTGCTGCGCGTCGAGCAAGATGGTTCCAAAAGGCTTGACCCAATAGACCAGGTAGACTCTCCTTTGAGACCCACCCAAACATTGAACACCATTTCAGGCAAACTCTGGTGCCAAGCAGAAGTCAATGCAATTCTTATTCCTCACCGAAGGACATATGGGGGTGTTTCTTGAGGGCACCCTTTTCAGTAGTTTAAAGGAACACCAAAAGCAAACCAACCATTTTAGGGGACCACCCCCCACCCCCTGCAATTGTGAGGAAACGGCAACTCCCCAGAAGGGCAAATGCTCCTCATTGGTGTTTGCATGCGCAAGAAGGTTAACAAGGCTTCGGTCAAACTAAGGAGCAATCTCTCCAAAAGGTGAAAAACATATTCAGCCAAAGCGCAACCAAGACATTTGACCTATTGCTATTTCCAAAGCTATGACAACTACCGATCTGGGAACATTCCCTCTCTGTTTTTACCACAAACAAAAACCTCAAGCGGCACGGTGGTGACGGGTAGTAGGTGCAAGAGACATTATCTAAGTCAATAGGCCCTGAGAAAAAGACACCTCCCCATTCTGAATGGCCTCAACCCCCCCAAGTAACAGAAGTTCATTCTTTTTTGGCTCGGCCGTCCGGGTCTCAACCCCGTGTCCGCCCGGCGCCTCCTTTCTCTGCTGACGCGCGGGGCTTCTTCTGGCGACGCTGAAGCCCAGCGCCCGGAGACACCGAAACGCTACCCGACTCCCCGACCCCCGGCCAGAAAGCTGTAGTAAATCTGAAGTCGTCTTTTTGTTCACACTCTTTCACGCGAGGGGAGGTGTTCGGCGGGGATCAACGTACACTGTGGTCCACCAACAGGAACCCGCCACAGGGTCTCCTTTCGCTTCTTTGGGGAGAATATTGTGTTTCAGCACCCCTCAGCCCGGCGCCATGTCAGTGGATGAGAGGGCATTCCCAAGAATGAAGTAGTGTTCCTCAAAGCTACCTCAGCTTCCCGCCCCCAACCAAACAAATCTTGTGCCCCACCAAACAAGTATTATGTTTTGCTTGGCCCTTGGCGAGCCTTGTGTAAAAACAATGTCAAGCACGGAGAGACTCGCCGGGCCACGTGGCACCCCCCGGGTGAATTTCGCCCTCTCCCCGCCTCCTGGAACCGTGTGCCCCTGGCCTTCGCCGGCGCGGTGGACGGGGATAAGCTCCGGTCGAAGTCGATGATCTTCTTCCCCAGCGCCGCGTGCTTCTGCAGCTCGAAGTAAAACCTGGGCCCGAGACTCGGAATCTCGGCTCCAAAATTTGACGGGGGGCGTGGCCTTCCCGGAGAATGTAGTCCAGAAATTGGGGGAAGTGAGGGGTTGGGGCTGGCTGGGATTGGGCCAACGGGACAACCACTACTCAGATGAAACCCGCAATATCCACGGTTGCGGCCTGAAACACGCTTGATGCTCGAAGAAAATCCTGCAGCTGGTCTTGGGACTGCGGTTGGGGCTGCGGGTAGGCCAACTTTGCTTGCCGGTTCTCAGGGTATTAATGGGGCGTGAGAATGAACCGTTTGGGATCCCCTGAAAGAACACCAGGACGGTTCAGCTTGGTTCCCTCGATCCCTGACGACCCGCTATTAACTCCGAAATTGGTGCACGAATCAGCCTGCCCGAGCAAAAGAACCCAGGCCCAAAGAAAGCAACCGCGTTGCTTTCCTGGCGAGTGAGGATGGCTTGCTTTCCTAACTATATCCCCTTGATAATTAATGGCGTCAAATCAAAAACAAACGACCAATGTGAAGCAATCCCAAAGTTCCAATTGGTTCGGCAGAATATGGGGCTGTCTTTAAGATGTTGGAGCTCCGAATCGGCGGTTTCAATTTGGATTCCCTTTAATCAGCAACCGTAACGAAGGTATTCCCCAAAACAGCACACCATCCAGAGATCCAAACGTTCAAACTGCAGGGTTGCCCAACACATACATCCAAACGCGCACAATTAACTTTGGCCAAATAATACAGCCTTCTAGCACCCCTTCTTGTTCAACAAGCAAAACAGCGGTGTTTGTTTCAATTCTCTGGAAAAACCCTGTGGCACCCGTGAGAACCCGGAGCTTGCTTGTAAAACGCTGAGCCGACCCGAAGCTTCAGGCTGGGCGCTTTGGTACCTCCTGCGCCCTGCGGTCGATCAAGTTGGCCAAGCTCCTGGGCTGAGACCGAGAGCTCAAACAAGTGCAAACTCCACTCAGTTTCCTACCCTCCAACAACAACAGCCGCATCTTTGTCCCCTGGATGGAAGATGCCGAAAAAACATGTGAGTCTTGCTAGGCTTGGGCCGGACCGCCTGCTCAAACATGGCAAGTGATTTTTATCTGTGCTTTTTGAAGGGAATTAATTACCCTCTTTGAATCTCTATTGAGTTCTGGGAAAGAGAAGCCAAAGGGAACTTCCTCCTTCTGGAGACAAGCCCATCAGCTCCTACAAGTAGGGAACCACCTGTTCTGTGCGGAATTTCCCCGTGAGACAACACCCGTCAGCCGTAGCTTCCTTTTGGGAACCATGGCAACTGGTTGTAAACCAATGCGACACCAGACTCCGAACCAGGATTTGACTACGGTCAACTGCTGACTTGGTACACCCGATGTGATCTCCTTTGCCACACATGACCCACTTGCCCCGGTGGAATATAGAGGTAGAGTATTTTGTGCACAAAATGCACAAAGGGAAAGGTGGCACTGGGATGACGGATTCCTACCTGTCAACCTCATGGCTTTCGTCTTAGCCGTTGCTTGCCGCGGGGCATATTGAAGTCCGTAGCCATGTCCTGCAAGGGCAAGTCATTCCAATCCTCAGTGCACAGCAACAAGAACGC